CAAAGAATGCAGTGAGAAGTTAAACCAGCACTAGCGATGCACAGCTCCTCCCTGTGCACCTCTGTGAGGCTGGTCAATCTAAACCAGCTAATAAGTGATGCATCATTATGTCCCAGCAGTCTCTCAGCACACTCTCCCTCCTCATTCTTCTACTGCCGATGTCCTCCATCAGAGCCAAGGTTGCCATCCTTCCACAATTACTGACACCTTTCTACAATTTATGGACATGTGTAACTGCCAAAACCTTGTCGAACTTATGAATTATCCCATCAGATTTGTTTGGAATTGTTCTGCTGATCTGCCACCTTTTTTTTATTTCATTATGTAAAAATGTAAATGTCTATTTGTGAATGTATTTACTCTCCTTGGTGCCAGACATGTGAGCATTAAAATGACAAGAACAGAGTTGTATTTGCAGCTTGAGTCTGAACTTAACTTGTTTCTATATATTTTTATTAGATACTCTGTCCCTTTCTCATTGCATTCCCGCCATCCTCATGTCTGTAGCTCTTTCCAAACATTCTGTATTCAATTGAATTTGGGCACTCCAAAGGCGTTACATAATAGTACATACAGTCAAAAGAAACAGCTTGGAAAATAAATGAATAAAACTGAACATAATAGGTAATAATTAACTTTTATTGTATACCCAAATGTTGTTAAGTAGGGTTACATTTTCTGAATCCTCTTTAGTAGACCCTGGATAACTAAAAGACAGATAAAAATCATTCAGGCAATCTAAGATCTTAGAGGCATTACAGAGAAAATTGAGTAAAAAGCATGTTTCTGAATGGTGGAGAGTTAAAGTACCTAAAACAGTAAAATAATATTATGATTATAACTCACTTCTTTTTATCATGGAGTTTAAGGTTTAAACCAGATTTTATGGAAAGCAAGACTAAGGGGGAGAAGAGGGTTGTGGAGAATGGCGCCTGAGTTTTAAATATACAAATAAGATGTTTTATCATGTCCTGCTTTTCATACTTGTCCCTGATTTCTGAAGTGACCTTTCATTTAGTACACCTTTAACACCACTGCATTCTTTTCGGTCACTAATCCTGTTCTCTTCACGGTGATTCCAGTTTTTGTCCAGGCATTACACTAATCCTTACCTCAGCATAGTGTGCTTATGTAAAGTCACTTTGATTGATACACTGCATTAGATGGCAGGTAATGTAACAATACCAATATATGAAAATTAATTAGTTAGATTATTTCTTTAATGAAATACTAACAATGTTAATTATGCTGGAATTATTTCATTGAGTTTTTCCCAAAACTGGCCAACATTTACTTTACTTCAGGGATATTCAATAATTATATTGTTACTACTTAAATAATGTGAATATTTAATCTTTTGTATCTTTCTCTAATAATATTATTTAATAAATCCCATAGTTTTTTTTTATATGTATTTTATATTCATCTAACAGTATGCTATAATATTCCTGTTTAGCTGTCTTTAAAATTTTGGTTAATTTATTTTTATCTCTTTTATATGTAATTTCTGTCTCCACCATCCTATTCCTTAAATAATATGTAAATTTACTACATATTGTGTTCCTTCATTTACAAGCATTCTGCATTCCTTTTGTTATATATCTATGCTGTATTAGAATATTTATCTTTTATGGTACATTTGTTTGGAGCACTTCCATTTTGTAGAGCAAGTTCCTTGTTGTTTTCACTTGTTGCATTTTGTTTGTGATGGCAGCATTTTTTGTTATTCTGCATTTTTCTTTTCTCATTTTTTTTTGTTTGTTTGTGTGTTTTGGAGGTTGCATTATCAGTGTTTCCAGCTGATTTCAGAACTTGCCGTGCCTTTGCACCTGCTTGCAGCTTGTTTGTTTTTTGTTTGCAGAATTTTTCTGTTGCATTTTTTTTTTCATTTGTTTGGATTTACAGAACATGTTTTTGCTGCTTAATTTGTGTCTTGCTGCACGTTCATTTATGTAAACACATATCCCCCTCAACCTGCTACTCGTTTAAACAGACCTGATTTGTGCTTTCTTTTAACAAACCTCATGAGGATGGCCTGTTTATCCTTGGAGTTTCTCTTCGGGGGGCTGCTAAGCTTCAATGTGCTCATTGTTCAGTTCGATCCCATGGGAGTTATGAAAGTTAGCCACTTGTTGTAGGCTACAGTAGACTTACAGTACCACTCTCCTGGTTCTCCTCGGTTCTCAGTGGGTGTGAGTGTATAAGCATACAGGGTTTCATCTATAGCCTGGTGTTGATAACATAACTCATCCTGGAAACTGTTCTCCTTGTTAATTGTTTGATTTCACTGGATTTAGAACTGCTTTTGTTCTTTTTAATTAGATCAATAGAGTGACAGAACTGAAATTTGTTGTTGTCGGAAGGGCCATTTGAATTGCAAAACATAGATCTGTATAAAAGTATCACCCGAGTCTTTGTTGCATATTTGGATAGCATTAAGGGGAGTCCCAGGATTTATCTTGTTACGCTTAAAGCACTGAGTAAATAAATACTAAAAGCAGCAATGCATTTGTTATAAGTATATCTGAACATACAAGGAGTAAGCATCCTAGGGGGGAGGGGGTAGCATACTCTGGAAATAACAGCATATCTGATAGAAACAAAGAGCAAGTGATGGTTGTGAAACACTCAGAGAAGGAAGCAGATCGCGATGAGGGCTCAAGGGTGAGGTCAGCAGAAGAGATCAGACATGAGGGAGAAGTTACTCTCTTTGATGATGACTCCTCTTTCTTTGGGAGCCTGCTGTCCACTCTCATGTGCTCCACACTGGAAAATAAATAAGTCCCTCTTTCTGTTAGAAATACTGTTTAAGTTTGATAAACATGGTAGAAAATGCTTATATAAGATCTGCACTGTCGGTCACTTTACACCTGTTTTGCACTATCCCCCCCCCCACAATCTGTGCCAGTACTGTTTACATTTCCTTTTCACTGTTTACATTTCCTTTTCACTGTTTACATTTCCTTTTAATATATTTATATATATTTTTTGTAACTGTTTACATTTCCTTTTCCTTTTAATATATCTATATATATTTTTTTTTATATATTTTTTATTTTTATTTTTATTTCACGGTAGCTGTTATGGAAGTCCCAAATCTCATTGTATCTGTCACAGAATATAATGACAATAAAGGCTTTTTGACTTTTGACTTTTTGACTTTTGACTAGGAGAATATAATCATAATTTGCCATATTGGTTTTAAACGCTTTCTGCATCCATTTAAAGAAGATGCAATAATAAATAGAACCACTAAAGTTCTGTACAAACCTTTTTGTAGGTTTGCATTTTGTTTTGTAGAATGTAGGCTTTTTCTATATATTTTCATTATGGGCATTTTATATGTGGGAGTGATGGCTTAGAGGTAGCTTGCCAAACAGACCAATTTACACAACACATACCAATCTGGTAAACTCAGATTCATCAATCTCAGTATAAGAGGTGGGAGTTTATTGTTGCCCCAGAATTACTGAATTACTAACAGTCAAGAATGCAGCTGCAAAGGAGCATTGTTTTGATTATGCCCTTTATAATACCCAGAATGAGCTGTAAATATCTTTCAAATTTAAGCTGTTTCGCAACTTGTTTTGCTTTGAACCCCACAAAAGTATTTTCACACTGAACGTGAAGTTTGCAGCTGTACCAAAGGATTTCCAGGTAAAAGGGTGGATCGGCATTGAAAGTATTCCAGTCAGTTTAGCTATTTGGTCCAGAATGTGCGGCACATTTTTTCCAAAGACAATTCAGTTTATTTATTCATCAATAAGTTCTATAAGATTTATTTTATTTTTTTTAGGTTAAATGTGGTCGGTCTGTCAGTCTTGATTAAGTCCAGAAATAGTTGTTGAAAATTGGGCTGTGTTTGGTCAGTCTGATTTTGTCTCACTTTCATCCAATACAAGATGTTGAAAAGAGGTCGAAAACCCAATTTTCAACATCTTTTCACCTTTCAGTTTTCAACAAAAGTTAGATGTCGTTTTGACATAAATCATGTTGTCTTTTCAATTTTTGTAATTTTTGCTCGGCGGGTTCTGTCAATTGTAAGAAATACTTTGCTATTCGCAATATCCCGAAACTCTAAAAGGTAAAAATAGCATTGATTTAATTTTTTCAGTGCATCATTTGAAAATTATAACATTGAGCAGATTTCAAACCTGTCAAATCTCTATAAACTTTAACAGCTCCATAACTACAACTAAAACTAATCTTGTTGACATAAAAACTTAATTGCTGGTTTGGCAAAACTCAGTATGTACAACTGCAATTATAAGTCAAAATTAATTGGTAGCTGCAAGCCACAAGAAAATGAAGTTTTTACTAAATAGTTTGGTCGACAAACCTAATAGTAAGACTGAATTATTTGACTAAAAAAGAACCTTAAATAAACTGATATCAGTATTTACTATTTGTACAAACCACAAAAAATTACAATCTTTTGATTTGAATGCCAGAATTTAAGTCTTATATTGCACAACAGGCACGACAACCAACAGTCGTTTTTGTTTGCTCCTTACTTCACACCAGTAGGTGGTGCTCCTTGCTTACTGGATGTGCTGCTTAAAATTGAGAGCATGCTCTAAATGCTAAGACTGAATGCTATAAAGTTATTCAAAATTATTAGTTGAAGGGTGTGAAAACTTATGCATGCAGCTTGTTGCATATGTTCTTACTTTTCCTTATAGTTTTATTGCACTTTTAATTCTTTAAAAGGTAAAAATCTAGCTTTTTAGTGCCCTCAATGACACCAATAACTTGAAGTGTGTTGAAATTATATGGCTTGATTCAAAAACTTGTTAAAGTCATAGGTTTGTTTAACTGTTCAAAACTATACACCAAAGATCACTGACATATATAAACAATTACAGTTGTATGTGCACTTCAGAAACTTAATAGATTTTAGATTGTATCTATATACAGTTGTGATGTATTTGCTTTTTCATAGCAAATAATTCTGGTTGAAGGGGAAGGTCTAAATATTATCAGAGGTGTGACACCATAGTGGAAGAGCCTGAATGTTATCAGACAAGGAAAAGGTGACACGACGTGAGGGAGATAACCTGAAGGGATTGGAAAAAGAGGAATAAAAAAATGATGAGGAGCCCGATATTTACTTTTGTTTTGTCCCTCTTCTGTATGGTGGGCCTGCTGACTACTCTCGTGTGGCATATAATGGATAACAAGTAAGCAGCTTTATGGATTTTAGAAATTAAAAAATATATATTTCTCTATCTTGTTTATTTATTTCTTGTTTCTTAAGAGAGCTTTAAATGTTTAATTAACAGCACATTGTGTCTTTTTTTTCATTTATGTGATTTAAGAAACAAATGCTCTTTTAATAGAAGACAACAAACTTTACCATGGAAAAACTAGTAAAAGCTTTAGAGAGAATCACAATTTTAACAACTATTTTCATTGATAATAACGTCACTGTAAGGAATCCCCTTTATGATTTTTAATTTTACTCCATATAAAGTAGCAATAAATAAATAAATTTGTGTTTTTGACCACCCAGCCAATTTTGGATAATTAAAACACTGTAAAGCATGTAAAATTACATTTCAAAAGTCATGGAAAAAAAAACAGATTTCTAATTTCTTTAACACTCTGTTCGTGTCTGATTGAATGCACTGAAACCACACCAATGCAAAAAACAATTAAAATAATTTTTACCCTTTTCAAACAATGCATTTATGATAATTTATTACGGTATGTGTTTAAAAGGAAATGTAAAAATCAATTTACAGACTGTCTTTAAAAAAGAATACAGCAAAGGGTAAAGAAACTTTTACTTAGGTTTTTTTTTTTTTTTTACACTTGCAGCTTTAAGTCGACCTGAATTTGGACCCGTTTGGTTAAGTAAGAAAGTACTGAGGAGGCGGTCTCTGGGGCGCAATAGTTGATTTCTGGAAAAAAAACAAAACATAAAACCTGTTGGGCAACTCTGGTGTAAAATAATAAACACTCGCATGAAAAACACCAACATTTATTACAATTATTATATAATATTATGGGCATAATATATTACCTAACAGGGATCTCACAGTGCATTAATCCGCGCATTCTCCTGAATTAGTTTAACTCTTTTGACCTACATGCAAACCAGACAGAAACCAGACGAGAGCTGCAGGTCTTCTTTCAACCGGTTCAAACAGACATTTGTAATGTCTATCAAAGAAGATTTAACAATCTATTTACATATCTTATGGCGATACAATTCAAGAAACATAAAAAGCTACTATGTGCATAGAAGAAAAAGATTAATTGCTTAAATGACATCGCAATATGGCAACGGTCATGTGATAAATACCTGTGGGATAATTTTTACTGCTAAGAGCTGGTTCTCTGGAAATCGAGTCCATCTTACTTCTTTAGTTATTCCATCTACTAGATCACAAAAAAGTCACATTTAAACATATAATAACAAATGCTATTTAACTAGGGTAAAAAAAAAAACACAGTTTCATCCTGAAAATGAAAAATATACTTTTTCTGTTGACAACACCTATATAGTCCCGCCAATTGAGGCATTCATAAAGGTATACTTTGAAAATGCTACATTAAATAATCAAATTAAAGAATATGATATAAACATAAATATCTATTTGTGCTTTTTGTTGGTGGTATTTTTATTTCAAGAACAACTTAATTATTCAACAAAGGCACATTTTTATTTTTGTGTCTGAGAGAAACCCCCTCAACCCTGCTTACATAAAATATTCTCCCTTCATAAATACAAAGGTGTGTGATCCATGATAGCATGCAAGTTACATAAGGAATTTACATCAAATTCGCTAATTTCAGTGGGAAAGGGGATTTAGAGAACTATGAAAAAATGTATATCTGTGTAAAAAGTGCTAATTTGTTTTGTAGTATCATCAAAACAACTCACATCATAGCTTGTTGTAAAGATGGGGTTTGTCTGAATCCAGTGATATTTAATGTGCAAATATAGCACGCACAGTCAGTGTGTTAGAGTAGATTTTATGTGATCAAAGGTAATTTTTCCAACAATCTTCTTTGACATAAAGCTACAGTAAAAATGGGGAGTGTTTGTAGAGTGGATGGAGTTGACCTATTTGATGATGTGTACTGTTAGCCTGATAAACCAGATTAAATGTGACATTAAATGTATAATTTAGTCTGGACCTGATGAATGAGACATCGGAAGATTGTTGATGAGAACAACCCGTTGTCTTTCAAACCATGTCTGTGCCTATTAGCCAACGCTCTGACCAATGAGTGAAACTGACTGTGACGTAAGTGCAACAGAAAGCTGGTAGGGGAGTGTAAACAAACAGCCTGTCTGGAAAACGGCAAATATGTCCTTATTAAAAATGAATGAGCGTAGAGCCTATTACTGCTGACGTTTCAACGAAAACCCCAAGTCTAATCCTTCCAAAACTGATTCCAAAGCTGAATCAAAAATTGCCATCAGAGCCAGCGCTCCTTCAAACACAACTATGCCGAGAGAGGGCCGCTGCAGATGGGGTGCGGTTAGCCCTGGCTGCCGTTAGCCCTTGGTTGCTGTCCACTCAACCTCGGAAATTGTTTTTTTAATTATGCATTAAATCGGTAAATGGACCATATAGATGCTTTAAAGTATAATAATCGCGCCTCAAAAGATCTTAAAACGTACTTTTATTGAACAACAAAAACAGAAAGAGAAATTTAAACTTTCAATGGAGCGCTCCATTGGAAGCTGCTGCTGCCACAGTTCAATAGTTGTTACCATCTTCCTTGTTGCTCTTTCTCCAGCGTCGCGCAGCTTTGTCGTCCCGCCCTCAAAACCCCGCCCACTTTACATCCAAAAATTCAAAACACATCTCTGCGTTGTGATTGGCCCGCCAGTTCTAGGGCCTTGGGCATTGATCGAGGCTAGACCACTCGCAGGAAAAAAATATTTTTACTGCTGGGCTAGTTTACTAGCCTAGTTTTCCGTGACAAGTGTTAAATTACTTACTTAGTAAAATTAGTTAGATTAATTCAAGCAAGCTTTGATTGGATTTTAAGTTATTGTCAAATTTTTTCTCTTTTGTGTTTTTTTCATTTTAAAAAGTTTAGCAGAATGTTCAAAAAAAAAAAAAAAGAATGTTCAAAAACATCTTGGGCTTTGGTTAATTTCTGTTGAGGGATTTTTAGATAAACCCTCCTTTGTTCAGCAGGGCAGACGCACTGTAGAATCTCCCGATATAACTGGTTTCTGCTTTTTTGTAACACCTTCTAGGAAAACCTGCACCTGCCACTAAGCCCCTTTGAGCATGATTGATTTGAATTCAGTTTTTTTTTTCCAAGAAAGAAACCTTTTCCTGTCTATAGCCATTCACTGCCCTCACCTCCAGCCAATGGCTTTATTTTCCATGTACAGGGTCCATGGACCTTAATTTCACTCGCACTATAGTTTTGCCAGCCAGATATCCCTCTAATCTTGCCTTAGGCAGATTTGAAATTGCTCAAACGTACTATATTAACAAACCATAACTGCAAACAAAATGCAGTTACGGTATCACGTTTCCTTCAGTTTACAAAAATAATTTTTTTTTAATATAATATTAAACAGCAAAAAAAAAAAAAAGATGTAATAATAATGCACTCTAAGAAGAAATTGGTTCAACAAACAACAAATCTAGTTGGTTAAACCAGTTTTGGTTTGATAAAAAAAAAAGAAAATGTTCAGAAACTGACCAAGCCATTAGTTTCAGATCAACCACTTCAACTGATTAATGAAACAATCAATAAAAATGGTAACTGATGGTATAGTAATTTAACTGTTTGGCTATATTCAAGTGTTATGTAGTGTTTTTGTAAAGTTGAAAAAATTAGAAAACAATCCACTGGACTTTGTTTTCCAAGTTTGAAGACGTTTTACTTTCCATCCAGGAAGCTTTTTCAATAAAAAAAAATGTCTGGATTAGGGTTGAGTTCCAGGCTTTATAGAGTAGCCCAACAAAGCCCTGTTATGGCTTAGAAAACATTCAAACTGAACCGACAGAACAGGTTCTCCCCTTAGTAACGGGGAGTCGTTCAGGTCTTTGCCTGCAATACCGGATACTGACCTATTTCTCTGAAAAGGTAGTCGTGAGGGTCATTGTTGGCCTTGTTGGCCTTGCTGACCCCGCTGCGCTCTAGGTTTTAGAGAGCTGGAACCTGAGACCACCCCTCTCAAAAACCTATAATGCAGCAATAGAGTTGATTCCTTCCCGATATCATCCAAAACATCTTGCCTAGGCATAGATCAGTATCAGGTATTGCAGGCCAACAACGACCTCAAGTCCAGTGGATTGTTCGTTAACTTTTTTGGAATTATTATAATGGCATATATGGTTGATTGCGAATCTTCACCAGCACAGTCTTGTTTTTGGACTGTGGGAGGAAGCCGGAGTACCCTGAGAGCATGCATAGGGAGATCATGCAAACTCCATGCAAAGACATACAATCGAACCTGGAACCTTCATATTGCAAAGCAGCAGTGCTAAGTACTGCACCACTTTGCATCCCAGAATGCATTGAGATTATACAAACACAGCCGGTTATCAGATCAATGTGTTCTGACTACTTTCATGTTGGATTGAATCTGGACTGAATAAAGTCAATCACACAATTAGGATACTGTCGTTAGATCCTTTCGCTAATATTGTGGATGTATTTCTCTTGTTGGTATCACAGTTTTCAAGAGAGTAACCATCAACAGCTTAAAATAAAAAGTCAACCTCACTCCTTTGCTTCCTGTAAAAACTGTGGGTAAGAAAAAACAAACAAATACCTATACCTAGTCAAATAAACATTTATTTGCACTAAGGAAAGTAAAACACTAACCTTCTTGCTTAATATGTTTAATCATGACAGGGAGAATATTAAGAAAGCTTTAGAAGTTTACTCTGAACCCTGGACCAGGCAAGACTACAATTATGAAAAATTAAGGTAAAGATGTCATTAATAATTTCTTCACATGGAAAATAAGTTTTGAAAAATTATACATGTCTTAGAATTATATATTTCAGGATAATGGAAGGTTTTTGAATGTGTAATCTGCTGTTCAACGATTTCCAAATGTCTTTCTTTTTCTTTGAATAAGAAAAAATTATTTTGTTATAGTAACTCTGCTATGTCAAAAAAACAAATGCCAACAGGTTTTATTGCGATTTCACAGGCTGGACCTAAAAGCCAATGTCAATGGTTTTGATACGGCCATCATTAGCCAGATGAACACTCCAGTGGGATCGCAGATTGTTTATGACGGAGAACGAAAGAGGACCTTTGTTGTGGATCCTAAGGTTTTCAACTTATTTACAAAAGTAAGTTATTTTTTAATTATTAAGGCAGTTATAACAGCTAATTTTCTAACAAAATAATTATGTTTAATTATTTGTTTATAATATTCTTCTATTAGAGACAAAAGAGGCAGCTTTAGTGTTTTTGGTTCCTGGAAGACATTTTGGCTTGGTGCATAGTAAAAGTCTTAAAATCTTCCAGACTTCTTGTTATAATTGCGTTTGTGCCATTTACTTAGATGACAAATATCCATTCTAGTTAAGCCGTTCTTCTAATAAAATTGATTACGGGCCATTTAACAGGTTAATTTAAAAATCATTAATTATAATGACACATCAAACACATCAAAAAATGTATGTATTTATTTAAATTTATACTGAAATCCCAAGCAGGAACATTTGTATGTGTTTTTTTACTTATGCACCTGTATATGTGATGCACAAGCAGCATCACAGGAGTTGGTCCACTTTATTCAAGGTATTCAAGTTTAAAAATATCTCAGCACAACTAATGTTGTTGCAGAACAGATGCTCACGGTGCTAACGTCAGCATCCACAGCTGCGGCACAAACTTTTATGCCAGCCGACATCACACCAGATGACGAGCTTTAGAGCTCACAATAAGTTAGTTCACATCTGAACATCTTACCTCGCAGTTAAAAATGGATTTCAATATGGATCATTTGTCTTAGTAGGTGGCTTAAGAAGAAAAAGTAGTTTCAGTAGTATATGTTGTTATTGCACTAAATGTTGCATGTGCAATAGCAAATGTTGAGCTCTGAAAGGTAATGATTGGTGGACAGGTCTAGTCTTATAGTTCCGTTTTTAGTACTAGAAATGGAACCGTAACTTTCTCTAAAAGGCTGTATTATATTCCTTGTTGCTATGTTTATTTTTGTTTTTATTTTTTTTGCCACATTTAATGGATATAGTTGTGCTATCATTAATATTCATGTACTTTTAACACTTATGAAGAGGTATTTTTTCAATCAATGCCTTTTTATAAAAGATTTCCTGTTATGGATACGTACAACTTTACCATAACAGACAAAACACTAAACAGGAAAATAAAATACAGAAAAACAATCCCTGCACATCAATCCCATTAACTCCCACCCAGGTCACTGTTTGGTCATCTCCACACGTTACATCCCTGCAAGTACAAAGCACATTCTAGTAAAAGTTAAATAATTTCAAATATAATGGTATATCTTGAAACATGTCAAGAAAAGGACCCCATGCATTTACAATTTTCCCAGTTTAATGCTGAAGAGAACATTTCACTTTTTCCAGTTTCAAGCACTGCATAAATCATATTTATTGCTAAATTGTTCAAATAATGCCATTTTTTTTTTCTCTATGAAAATTTCTTTAAAGTAAGCAAGCTCACTCCTGTGCCACTCTAGCAATGCCTGATCCTGAACAGATGGTTTAAAGAAATGATTAAGTGCAAGGAAAAATCATGAATTTGTTTCACCATGGGATCAGGATAATATTAGACAAAGAAAATGAAAGTGTGGAAAAGAATTCAGCAGCGTATTAAATTCCCTTTGAACAAGTTTTGGTTTCTTTCTGTCATTGTGATACCCAAATTAGTAAGTTCTAAAATATTTTTTTTGGTACTTAAATATAAGAACTTAATTTTCGTAAGGTTCAGTTCATACCCAGAAATCTGAGCAAAGTGACAAACAGATCCAGGACAAGAGGAATTGAAGTTTATGGTTTGGAAATAAAAAGTAAGAGGTCAAATGCATAAAGTGCCACCATAGGTTCTATAAGCAGCAGCCGGCCCATTGGGATCACCCTCTTCCTTTTTTCAAAGTAAAAGTTACATTAAAAGAACTGTGTAACACTCCTCCTAAAACACCCTCACTGGCTCCTGAAGACAGCATATCCACATCAAGATCCTCCTCCCTATTATAAAGCTCTAAATAACCTTGTAAAGTATATTTGTTTTATAACAGGTGCTGATAAATCAATTTTATTATGGTTATATATTATTATTATCATCCAACATGGAAATTGTCCAATTTTTCATGTCATGGATCCATATATTTTGTCAGGAGAGGGATAGTAGACATGCAAGACAAACTGGAGAAAACATACATAAAAGTGGAGGAAACAAACACAGAAGATCTACACTGCAAAAACATTCTGAAACATTTCTAACAATAAGTGTATGTACCCTTAATTTGAGCAGGAAAATAAGATGATCTGCCAATGGAAAGACTACATTACCCTAAAATAAGATAATAAGATATTATGCACTTGAAATGAGAGACTGCAGTTGTTTTATTCTTAATTTAAATGTAAATTGTCTTATACTATTGGCAAAGAGTCTGACTTAACCGTCTGAATTCAAGAATAAATGCACTTATTTTGAGAAAAAATTACTTACTTAGTTTTATATTTTTGCAGTGTCTAGAATGCTGAACTTATTTATGAGTTACATTACAAATACTTTTTGGACTTCTGCAATCAAAATTTCATCTATGATTTTACCTACGTATTCCTGCTCCAGTTTAACAAAACTACAGTATGTAGACTTTTCTAACCAGAATTAGTTTTTCTGCAGTAGTGGCAGAATCAAAAGATCATGATATTTGCTTTGCATTTCATGAGAATTTTTCATAAGCTGTCTGCACAAAACTCGTCCTGTTAAATACCTATGATAAAAAGGAACAGCAAGTTTGATCTGCCAAGACAGAGTGCAATGCTTTATGGAGTCTGATCACCTGATAACTGGTCACCATCCTGGGTCAGGAAGCAATGATAATTCCTGGATATGCATTCCCTCCCAATTCTCCCATTTCCCATTAAGCAACAATTGTAAACAATTTACATGAATTGTAAACAATTCATGTGAGTTGTTGCTTACAAATTTGTCACACTTTGTAAGATTTTTTTTTATTAATCTGTGGTATGACTCATCCCGCTGATTACAGAGAAGATGGATGTGATAGTTGGGAAACATTTCAATATATGCAGACTTTGATCAGGTTTTATACTGTAATCCCTAAGCACAGAAAAAACAAAACAAAACAAAACAGACATCTGACAAAGCAAGTTCAGATAATTGGTACAATTCTATTCAACCGGTCATTTTTATAAAGCCTTTTTTTCTATTACAGTCTATTACAGGAAATACATTCTGAGAACATAGTACACTTAGACTTTATGTTCCCAGACTACCCCAAATCTGGCTAAAGTCACAAGGGTAGTCAAAAAATCCCATAGTAGCAAGGCTTCAACTCCAACTACTGTACAAAAGCATCACACTATTCGCCCTCCCCAGGAAAACCTAAAGAGGTAAGTTCATCTGATTATGAGACCCCAGCTTCGGGAGGAGCAATGCAGCTCTCAACCTGACCGCTGGACCAATTCTACACCACATAGTGCCTGAGGTTATTATGTAAATTTGTGTTTTGTTGACTTGGAGAAGGCATTTGACCATTTTCTCTGTGGGGGGCCATCCAGGGGTATCGACTCGGTGGTCCTTTTACTAGGGCCCATTTAGTCGCTGTACAAGTGGAGCAGGAGTCTGGTCCGAATTGCCTGTGTTAAGTTAGACCTGTTGCGGGTCACAGGATTTCTCGGCACAGCCAAGGGCAGGGGGTATCTCACTTGGGGAACAGCAGATTTCGTTGCAGCTTTTTGCAGATGAGGTGGTTCTGCTGGCTCCCTCTTGTCAAGACCTACAGTGCACCGACTGGGGTGGTTTGCAGCCGAGTGTGAAAAAGTGGGGTTAGCCTCTCAAAGTTCAGATTGAGGGGGTCCTGTTCATGAGGTGGACTGTGATGGTGAACAGGGAGCTGAATCACAAAGCAAAGCTTTCACTTAACTGGTCTGTCTTCATTCCTACCCTCACCTAATGCCATAAAACCTGTATTATGATTAAAATAACAAGATCTTGGATACACACAGCTTAAATCAGCATTCTCTGCAGGGTGACATGGCACTCCTTTAGAGATAGGGTGAGGAGTTCAGTCAGTAGAGTTAGTTCTTCTCCACGTCGGGAGGAGTCAGCTGAGGTGGTTCGGACATCTGTTCAAGATGCCCCCTGGAGGCCTCCTTTGAACGCTGTTCCCAGCACATCCCACTGTGAGGAGGCCTATGGAAGGGAGATTTACATGGATAATATGTTTTTGATTGTGATCCCAGTAGATCCCAGCCTCTCACAAAAACCCAGTAATGATTGATTCCATTCTTTTTTGTCAAATTGCACTTATCATTAGTGTTTTTATTTTCAGGAGACACCTCCGATTTACCATCTTTCATGTTTTAGCTGACATTCATCAGTTCCCTTTTTTTGGTCTTTGACTGCTCTGGTAATAACTTTTACAGTATACATTTCCATAGACATATAGTTTTATTATGCTTTTTTAATATATGTAAAGTCCTTTAAAAATACATTTGAGGGTGTTATGTGTAGTATCCAGGACGAGGTAGGCAAAGAACTCTTAACAGCTTTATTTAAGAACTCGTTCAGCAAACAGTAACATCAGATCTTCTCTTCTTCTATATCACTTCTTCTACTCCTCTTTTTTTATTCTCTACTCGTACACCACCTAGTGGTAGACACAACATTCCCCCCTTACTTGAAAAGCTTGCATGTACCCGTGTAGGATAACACTAAATATTAACCTCATTTAACAGTTTTTATGTAATTGGTATAACTTTAGCTGAAATCAAAGTAGGTGGTTACTTAACTAAGCAACAAAACGAATCAAATATATTCAGCAACCCTGTACTTTAACATTTGGAGTTACTAAGAAACAGAATTACCAATGTAACCATTGAGAAATAAAATCCAAGTATTTGAACATTTTGTACCATGAGAATTAGTCCACCTGTACCCAAAACATGTAACACACTCATTTATGTATCCATTTACTTTTTTTTTAGCCTGTTTGAAAGTCCTTGAGCCACACTGGTTGAGCAGCAGTTCTAACACTTTTCCTTTGAACCAATAGGTCACTTTCCTCTGGTTCTGTTGTTTTACATGGAATACCTGCAGAGTATCGTGAAAGTCTGGCAGCATTCCACCTTTTATTGTCACTGAGTACATACGTACTTTCTCCAATCTGCTTTTCAACACACAGCGGTGGAGTAAATCTAGATGAGCCTTTGCGAACATGATGGGGTCTTTTTACCCTCACCATATCTCCAGGTTTGAATGTTGGTGTCTTGGCTCCACGGCGCTTGTCAGTGTATTGTTTAGACTTTTCTTGTTTCTGTTTAACTGTTTCTCGTACTGTAGTGCCAATCCTGCTTTTTTTCTGAATCTGGAAAGACAGTCACTTTTGTTTTCATCCTCCTGTTGTGCAGTAGTTCTGATGGAGATACTCCAGTTGTGTTATGTGGTGTTGCTCTGTAGTTCTGTAAGAAATCAGTCACTGTGGTTTTCCAGTCTTTCTGCATGTGTTCCGCGGTTAGTATTGTCTCCTTAAGAACTCTGTTCCATCTTTCAACAGCACCATTGCACTGTGGATGGTACACACTTGTACGAAGATGAGATATTCCCCTCTCTTTGAGAAAATCTGCAAAAGAGCTGGAAAGAAACTGTGGCCCATTATCAGTGACTATGTAATCAGGGTTCCCCTCTCTGCTGAAAATAGAGCGCAGGAATGTGATAACAACATCAGTCGTTACAGCATGAGCAAATGCTACTTCTGGCCATTTACTGTAATAGTCCACTAATGTTATAGCGAATCTACATGAAGAAGCAGCAGTTTCGAAGGGACCCACAATGTCCAGAGCAACTTTCTCCCATGGTCTGTTCGGCAGTTCAATAGGTTGTAGAGGAGCAGGAGCAGTCTGAGCAGATTTGTCGTTCATTTGGCACGTCGTACATGTAGAAATAACTGACTGAACCATCTTGTCCATCTGGGGCCACCAGTAGAGATCACGAAGTCTTTGTTTTGTGCGTACAACGCCTTGATGTGTTTCATGTGCCAGGTGAATGACAGTAGCACGTAAAGAAACAGGAACAATGTATCGATGTTCACCTCTCATGACCAGATCCTGAGATGCAGAAAGCTCATTCCTGATGTGGAAGTATGGCATTAAGACAGGGTCCACATCCTTCTTACATTTTGGCCAGCCTTTCTCTATCTGTCCACGGAGAAGTGTGAGTTCAGGGCATTGAGAGGAAGCAGAAGTGAACTCAGCAACAGACAGAGCTGACACCACGGCTGCAACCATGTCAGGTTCATCAATAAGGATGGAGTCCATAGGAAGTGGTAGCCGTGACAAACAGTCTGCAGCCTGATTTTGTGATCCAGGCCTGTACTCCATATCATAGGTGAAGCACAGCAAACGCGCAGACCAGCGTGCGACCCTCATCCCAGCACGCCCAATGCCTTTAGTAGCAAGTAGTGTCGTCAGTGCTTGATGATCAGTCCTTAGCGTGAAACGTCGGCCCCAGAGATAAGACCTCCACTTTTCCACGGCCCACACACAAGCAGGAGCCTCCTTTTCAACTGTGGAGTATTTCCGTTCTGCAGAGGTCAGCATACGAGATGCAAATGCTACAGTTCGTTCAACATCATCTGGGTGTATTTGGGTCAACACACCACCCAGGCCATAATCTGAAGCGTCTGTGGTGACAATGGTTGGGAGGGATGGGTCAAAAAGAGCCAGAACCGGACTGTTCAGTAAAAGATCCTTTAAGTCCCTAAAGCTTTGATCAGCCCTTTCAGTCCATACGAAACCAGAGTCAGCAGTTTCTCTTAGCACAGCCCGCATTGGTTCCACTAATGTGGCAAAATTAGGGAGAAACTTGCTGTACCAGGAGATCAAACCAAGGAAGGAGCGCAGAGACTGTAGGTCATGTGGTGGTGGTGCATCACGTACAGCTGCACTATGAGCTGGATCAGGAAGGATGCCATCTTTGGAAATGATGTGACCAAGAAACTTGAGGCTGGACTGTCTAAATGCACATTTTTGCATGTTAAGTGTTAGGCCTGCCTCCATAAGACGCTGGAGCACAGCATGCAGTCGTTTGTCATGTTCTTGTAAGGAAGATCCTGAAACAATTACATCATCCAAGTAATTGTGCACACCAGGCAGTCCTTTAAGCACAGTTTCCATCATTTTTTGGAATGCAGATGGAGCAGAGGCCAAACCGTAGGGAACACGACAGTAACGGAAAAGCCCCTTGTGCGTAATAAAAGCTGTGAGATCCCTACTGTTCTCATGTAGCAGGAGCTGATGGTATGCAGATGCCAGGTCTATGGTGGAGAAAAAACTGGCACCCCTGAGCTCACTTAAAAGCTCATCCATGTGGGGCAAAGGGTGACTGTCAGCAACTATAGCTTTATTAGGTTCCCTTAAGTCAACGCACAATCTTGGTCTGCCCTCTTTCCTCGTTGTGACCACAATAGGTGAAATCCAGGGGGAAGCATCAATGCGTTCGATAATTCCCTCCTTTAACAGCAAATCTAGTTCCTCCGACACTGCGTCTCGTACTGCAAATGGAAGGCGGCGAAGTTTTTGCCGAACTGGAACTGCATCCTCACGTACTTTAACTTTGTGCACAGACCCGGCAACACAGCCAATAGAAGCAGAGTTCGTTTTTGTCAGTAACACAGGTGCAGCAGAAGAAGCATGTTCAGGGGTTGGAGCATGGATTGAATCGGAGCTAAATGTCCATTTTAGTGCTTTTATCAGATCCATTCCGAGTAATGCAGATCCGCCTTTAACTACATACAAAGAAGCAGGAGCAGCGTTGTCATGAAGGGTAACTGTTGCTTCCAAACATCCTATTACAGGAATATCCTCTTTCAAGTAAGTAACTAATTTCACCTGAGGTGCAGTGAGAGTACACTCAAAAAAATGTCTGTTGTACAGAGTCTCTGGTATGATAGAAACTGAGGATCCCGTATCAATCAGTAATTCACAATCAGCTGACTCGCCCGACGCAGCTTTAATGTTCACATTGCAAAACAGTCTATCAGTAGTGTTAACTTCATTTGCAGTTAACATGAGCACAACCACTTCAGGAATTACGTCCCCAACTTGTTTAGCTGAGCGGCAAACTTTAGAAAAGTGTCCAGTCTTACCACAGCTGTTGCATTTTGCCGCGGCTGCAGGACAGTTTCTTGCATTCGCCAGGTGATTTGTAGATCCACAGCGATAACAGGTGCACGCTGTTTGCCGCGCGGGGCGCGTGTGGTTATTTTTAGAAGCAGCTTGGCGGTTTTTTTCCTTGCGTTGAGTAGGTCCGCGCTGGGCAACGGTGTGAACAGCTGTAGCTCCACTGAGGAGTTTGGACGACTGAAGAGTGTGTTCCACTTGACATGCCAGCGTGACAGCGCTGTCCAGCGTTAAAGAGCCTTCCAGTAAAAGCCTCTTTCTCACCTCCGGTGCATACGCCTTCTCAATCAGCTGATCCCGCAGCATCTCGTCCTCCATGGTTCCATAAGCACATGGGATAGCCAACTCACGTAAAGCAGCCACGTATTGAGGCACAGTCTCATCCGCCCTCTGCATTCTCTGTCGGAATTGGTGTCTCGCCACGACAACGTTCACCTTCGGTGTAAACTGTAGTTCCAACGCCGTCATAGCGTCATTATATGAAGTGCCGGCATTAGGCAAGGTGTAAAATAAACGTTGTCCTTCAAAGCCAAGTGCATGAATTAGTAGAGCACGACGTCTAGCATCGGACCAGGAATTGCCAGTAGCATGAATAGCCGTTAAGTAGTTCTCAAACATTTTCCGCCACATGGAAAACGGGACCGTAGGTTCTCCACTGCAGGGTAGGAACGGCGCAGGCATGGGTACAGACGTCATCGTCGCCAATTGTTATGTGTAGTATCCAGGACGAGGTAGGCAAAGAACTCTTAACAGCTTTATTTAAGAACTCGTTCAGCAAACAGTAACATCAGATCTTCTCTTCTTCTATATCACTTCTTCTACTCCTCTTTTTTTATTCTCTACTCGTACACCACCTAGTGGTAGACACAACAGAGGGGTTTTTTGCATTATTTTTTTTACACATTTGAAGTACAATGGTATAGCAAAATGGTAAAAATATCAGCAACAGAAGAGTGAAGAGGAAGCACACTCTTTAGATACAAAGAAATGTAATTCTTTTGAGCTTGATGTAAGTCCAAGTGGAACAAGATTTTCAGCAGTTCATATTTATTTGAGTAAGAAAGCACTGTAACCATTAGTAATACTGATATACCTTAAAAACATATTACCACTCAAACCTTCCATACAAAATTGAGTATGCACTTTAACACAAATCTATAAGGCTAATACTGCTTCACAGCATCTCAGAGAAAGACATTTGGCTTTGGCAAAGAGGTTTTTGACATCATAGCATATATACAGTACTGCATATCAATTTTTTGTTTTTTACAGTGGTAAAAAACAACAAAATCAAATGCAACAGAAAAATGCTGCAAAAAAAAAAAAAAAAAAAAAAAAAATACTGCAATCACTAAACATAAAGCAAAAACCTGCATTATACTTTCTTCGTTAATCTCCTTTTACTGATCCATTTTTCAGAGTGAGTGTGCAGCTGGTTTTTATAGTTTCATGTTTTTCTTTATTTGATTTGAGCATTGTTTTGCTTGCAGCTTTTTGTTTGTGGTTGCTGCATTTTTTGTTTGCATGTGATTTGCAATCTAGTTTCGTCTTTCACTGCACGTTTGCACCTGTCGGCCCAGTAGTTGCTTAAACCACAAGTAAATTTTTTTTAAAAACAAATAAGGTACCATTTAAAGAGAAAAAAAATATTTCAAAATCATAACATTAATTGCCCAAAATCTTTTTCTTCAATTTTAATCTACATTAATTATTTGTTTAAAGTTAACTGATTAAAATGTGAGTTTCAATGAAAGGAAATAGTGGTTTTAATCCAACTTTATTTTGCTCAAATGAGCTTGAACAAAATATTTCTGCTGCTTATGATTCCAGGGGCATCCTTTTTCAAATAAAAGATGGGACACATGTTCTGTAGTCGGGAATGGTGGGATCCTGGGGAACAGCAGCTGTGGAAAAATGATAGATTCAGCTGAGTTTGTTATCAGGTGAGCAGGTTTTGAGAGTGAAACTCATCCTGAGAAATTAAATCAGTTTTTCATATCTAAATTTATGTTTTTTCTTCAGGTGCAACCTGCCTCCTTTGTCAGACGGTTATGAGAAACATGTTGGTACTAAAACAGACCTTGTGACTGCAAACCCAACCATCCTCATAAACAAGTAAGCTGATAACTTACTTACCCTAAAAAAATTATACATAGTTGTGTTTTTTAAATGCATTTTTAATATATATTTGTAGATTTGAGTCGCTGGTAGGACGTCGACGGCCACTAATGGAAAAGCTTAGTAACTATGGCAACTCAATGTTGGTCCTTCCTGCCTTCTCCTTTGGCATGAACACAGCTGTATGTATGAGAACTTTTTACGCCATTCAAGACTTTCAAGATGCCATCCAACCTGTCATCATCAATCCTGAGTACATCTATAAACTCTTTCTCTTTTGGCGTTCACATGGGCTGAAAGAAGCGCGCCTCAGCACTGGAGTTATAATGGCAAGCCTAGCTTTGGAGCTTTGTGACAATGTGCATCTTTATGGATTTTGGCCCTTCAGTGTTCATCCATACAACTTCAGAAACCTGACTCAACATTATTATGATGACATGAAACCAAATTCCAATTTTCACTCCATGCCATCTGAATTCAACATGTTGTTGCAACTTCACAAACAAGGTGTCCTTCGCCTGCACCTGGGAGAATGTGAACCAGATCACTATCAGTAACAGGGCAAGACTTTTCTCTGTAGCGACAAGACAGGGAAATTATTGTGATTATGCCAAGTGGAACCGCAAACTTTGTTCTTTAGACGTTAAGCTATCAAAACACATTCTTAATGCTAAAATGAGGTGGGCTCTATTTATAATAATTGTTAATAAAAATGTGCTAAAACAAAATTCCCACTATAGTTCTGCAAGTCATTAGGATTGATAAATAAGGACTGCAAAACAAAGGGCAGTCTCTGATATTTCACTAAATTAATAACCAATCGCATCTCCGTATTGGATAAAACAAAATTAGCTAATAATATAAGAAGGATAATTCCTTAACACAGTCTCAGATTTGACAAGGGAGATTTCGGTAGAGTACAGTTAAATAAAATAAGTTGCTTGTTCAGACAAACTACATGAATTTATTGAGCAGATTTTCAATTGGTTCTGATTAACTACATATGAACTTGCAGATTTTGAAATCCCATTGAAACACAGGTTTAGCATATTAGCTACATGTGAAACATTTTGAGTTGTGAATGATGTCAGTAAACATGTAAAACCAGTTTTTATGTCCATACTATAAGATCAAAAAGATTATATGAGTAATTTCAAGCAGGAAGATATATTATATGATAAGTTAAAATGAATAATTAATGTTGAATTGATGAAGAAACATATTCTGAAAGTATTCAGAAGTTAGTAGACCTGTAGCTTGAAGCAAAACAGGCAGCCACCAAGGATTAACTGAGATGAAATGATATTGCAGAACATTCTAACAAACTGACACCAAGGTCAAGCTGCAGCAAATAAAAAAACAAACAGGAACATTTAAATGTATTTATTTTTTTGACAGTAAAAGAGCATTTAATATGTTTAAGACTTTTCTCTTCCTTGCATCTGAATAAACCACAACTACAATGTTTACAGTAAAAAAAAAAAAATAAATAAAATAAAATATATATATATATATATATATATATATATATATATATATATATATATATATATATATATATATATATATATATATATATATATATATATATATATATATATATAAATATATATATATATCTATTTCATATCAACTGTTCAGCATGAAGTTAGAAAGGTGTGGACTTGGGCTTCTCTGGGTTGCGTTCTTTCCAAAGGCTAATACTTGGCCTAAATTATGTAAACAATGGAAAAATAATTTGAAAGAAAACAGCAGATTAACAGAGGAATGGGTAAAAAAAAAAAAAAAAAAGGAATCAGGCTGCTGCAACCGACAGGCCAAAGTACAGATTTAAACTTGGTTAAGTACAGTAGCTGCAACAAAAGAGATGGTATTATAAACCTGAATTATTTTAAACGACTTGGTAATAATGCAGTGCATTAAAATCCCTTGTATCCTGTGAGACATTATAGGTCAAAAAGAAAACGTCCCCTAAAGGTTACTGCAGCTAGTGTTTTTACATGTTTTTTTTTTTTCTCAGTGAAGCACTTTGTGATTCTGTGTCCTTTAAAGCACTATGCACATAAGGTTTACTTATGTGCTCTCTATTGAATTGAAGAAAGTAATTCATAATCTGTATGCACCACCACTTCTTGACAAGGAGGATAAACAAAAAGTTTTGTCTTTAAGATTTTGTCAACAGTTCCAAGCATTATGGTTACACAAAGAAACTTGAAACTTGATCGGGAGGGTTATAGGTTTCTTGTATTGATTTTTTATCTGTGGAATGTGGAGCTAAGAGTCTCAATAAAGATTCAAGCACAAGCTAGATTCATAAAAGTACAAGTACACATAAAAAATCATGAATACAAAGGACATGATCTAGTAATTTATTTCTGATGTACACACATAGTGTGATTTATCTTCATGGAGCCTCTTGTAGTTCCATACTGGGGGAGGCATTTTCATTTATTAGCACTGGAAGGACTCTTTTAGTCATGTCATTTAGTCACTAGGTACAGCTTTTGAATCTCTTTTTTTATGTACTTCACCTTATCCTTTGAAATACTTGGGTAGGATTTGCAATGCAATCACACAAATACTTACAAAAAAGGTTCTTTACCAATTTTTACTTGAACATCTGTAAAGGTTAAAATATACAAGGGACAAATTGAGAATTATATTAATAAAAAAAAAATCTAACAAAATATTTAAGTGGGTAAAATATTGAGGTTTCAAAGTATGAGAGGCTTTGCTTGTGCTGTAGATGTATGTGTGTATGCAGTAAGTAAAGTAAATGCTGTATTTGCAGTCTGATATATGAGCATGTGATTGTTAAGGGATGATCTGGGGGAAAAAAGTTTTTTTTTCAACAATAAAATATTTATCTGGAGGACAAACCAAATGTTTCAGGATTATTATGACTCTTGTGTTGTCATTTTAAATTGAAAGAAGATATCAACTGTCATATTTTACCGCCCCCAAGGAGGTTATGCTTTTTATAAGTTTGTGTGTCTCTGTCTGTCCATTCCTTCCATCATCCGACTGTCCATCTGTCTGTTGGTGTATTGGATTACTTGAAAGATTATGAATGGATGTTAATGAAATTATTACCAAATGTGCACCTCAGTCCAAGGAACAATCCATTAAATGTTGGTGACGATCCACATCATAATTTGGATGCAGGAATATTCCAAAGGACTGTTTAACATTATATAGCGGAACAAGCAGTTCCCCTCTAAATGATCCAGATCATGTTTTAGTTTTAGCTATACAGTAGGTGTAAGTCACAGTATGGGGCAAAATTTGCTTCTTGGCCAAAGTCTGCTCTCTGAATGCTTTTCTAGTTCTCATTGGTAGCTTCACAAAACCATATCAATAGAAATGTTTGTCTTATATGAAATATGGTTAGCTTTGTTCTCCTAAGTCATAATTTAAAAGTTTAGGTCGAAAAAACAAACAGAACAATGAAAAGACAGAAAAGATCCCCACTAAATCTAGACTTACTGTGATCCCAGTGTTTTTTAGTTTTTCTTTTTTTTTTTACAAACAGGACAGTTAATAGTTAATAAATATTATGTGCAATATTTCAAATTTAGTTGACATGGTTATCTCTAAACATTACTATCGCAAAGGTGATATGTTTGCTATCGCAAAGGCGATAGCAAACAGTTCCTTTGTAGTCCCTCAGATACATCTGCAATAAAAAAATAAATAAATAAACGAAAGGGACCAGAAGAGCCGATAAATAAGCGATAAATAAACAGGAACACAGCATCACCTTTGGTAAGAACATGTCTAGTGAAGAAGGAACTGATCGTCGTCAAATGAACATTTCGATCTGTTGGAGAAGCTTTCTGCCACTTGGCTCATATACCTCACTGCTCTGGTGGTGGCATTTTGTGTGCAGGGATGGGCAAAGCACCTGAGTAACAGCTTTTTATGTGGACGTGCAAATAAGAGCAGTAAGCTGGAACAATTAGTTGTTTTGTATGGTAGTTTCTCAGGATGCAAAGTAAATTATGATAAAAGGACAGTTTTACCACTTGCAAAATTAAATCACTCTGGGTGTCAAGGTATCACTACATTTAAATGGACTTTGACAAGTGTAAAATATCTGAAAATGATATTAATCTAAAAATCTCTATAAACTGAATTATGACCCACTTCTTAAAACGATTGCAGAGGATCTACAGAAATCATCTACCTCAGGGGTGCTCAAGTCCATTCCTCAAGAGCTACTATCCTGCAACTTTTTGATGCAACCATTTTTAACACACCTGAATCAAATGAGTGGCTCGTTACCATGCCTCTGTTGGGCTAAATGAGGTTAGATTCAGGTGTGCTAGAGAAGAGATGCATCTAAAAGTTACAGGATGGTAGCTCTTGAGGACTGGACTTGGGCACCCCTGGTCTACCTATTACTTTATTTGGAACAATGAACTGCATTAAAATGAACATTTTGCCGAGGTTGCAGTATTTCTTCCAATCCCTTCCCATACCTTGTCTACAAACTTTCTTTAAATGTCTTAAAGGAATAGTACACCCAAAACATGATTAGCCTTCATTTTCTACTCACCCCCATGCTGAACAACACTCTGGAGTACTTTTTTGATATCTCAAATGCATCTGGAGATCTGGGAGACTTCTTGCTGTCTGCTGACATTCAAATAATGGAGGTCTATGGCGCCCGAGACAGAAAGGTCCACAAAAGTCCACAAAAACTTGTCAATATTCCTCCATACTGCTCGTCCAATGTAATCCAAGTGTCCTGAGTGGGTAGCATCCAGAATTTACTCGAAACGAAGTCATTTAGAACGTTTTAGAGCCTAAACAGTAGTGTATAGGATTTCCTAATAGCGCCCCCATGCGCGCTCACGATTCTACGGAAGCCGGCAGACCAAACCAGCGCATTCAGCTCGGCAAAGAACTCATGCTCTTCCTCAACACTGAAGTCCTCAGACATTTTTCTTTCGTTGTTTCTTTCTTTGCACAGGTAAACAGCACATTTCTTCTTCTACGCTTGCATTATCGGCAGACCAGACGCTGAATGCGCACTTCCTTCCGGTTTGGTCTGCCGGCTTCCGTAGAATCGTGAGCGCGCATGGGGGCGCTATTAGGAAATCCTATACACTACTGTTTATGCTCTAAAAACATTCTAAATGACTTCGTTTCGAGTAAATTCTGGATGCTACCCACTCAGGACACTTGGATTACATTGGACGAGCAGTATGGAGGAATATTGACACGTTTTTGTGGACTTTTATGGACCTTTCTGTCTCGGGCGCCATGGACCTCCATTATTTGAATGTCAGCAGACAGCAAGAAGCCTCCCAGATCTCCAGATGCATTTGAGATATCAAAAAAGTACTCCAGAGTGTTGTTCAGCATGGAGGTGAGTAGAAAATGAAGGCTAATCATGTTTTGGGTGTACTATTCCTTTAACACAGCTGTAGGACACTTTGTATGGAATGGTAAAGTAGCCAGGAGGTCTATAGAAATATTATCATGGGATTAAAAATCAGGAGGGCTTCAATTACTCAATTAAAAGAAAAACATCTTTGCAGCTTAAATGCAATTTATTTTGTCCATCTCTATGTTTGAAGGTGACACTGTTCCATCTTGGATAAACATTGCATTTCATTCTTTGAGAGATGCTGACTTTTGTGATTGTGTTTAAGTATGACTTAAAAATACCACGTAAAGCAACAGATAATCCAGTTCTATCCCATCTTATAAAAACTATGGTATGACATACAAAATTATATTGGAAAAAATTTTGACTGTTGCCAAAGTCACAGCTGAGACACAACCAGCTCATTCCATTGACTGTAAACAACAAGATTCTGGAAGCCTAGTATCAAAATGGAATTCACATCTTGAAGGTCTGCTTTGAAAAAGGAACTTTGTTGTCTTTTGAACAATTGAAATGTAAATACAGTTGGCATCTCTACTTAGGTGTGAGTGTGTGTCTGTACATGTTGTATGTCTTGTGTGTCTCTGTGTTGTCCTGTGACAGACTGGTGACCTATCCAGAGTATTCCCCACCTCTTTCCCATAGATTGATGGAGACAGGCACCGTCCCCACTGCAACTCTGACAGAATAAGCGGGAGAAGATGGAAGGATGTTACATATCATTTTTAAAAGGTTTTAAAAATAATTAATTTTCTTTGTCTGAGACACTAACCTTATCAGACTTTGTAATGGACAGGAAGTTATTGAAAATGTATTGTGTAATTTATTTTTCATATAAATCATTGGAAGTGAATTTTGTAAATGTTGCAGATTGTTTATGGATGTTTGTCTGTTTTAATTAGCATTGTTTAATGGTATTTGTACTTTTTAATGTTAAAGGTTTTTTTTGTTTTTTTTGGACCTCACTGGCTGCCCTGGAAAATGAGGGCGGGCCCTAAAAATGCTGGT